GTCACATAGACACACAGCGCCAGCACAGGCTCTGGACACCCCCACTCGCTGACGACAGTCACAAGACCGCTTGGTTTTTATCCACCCCACGTGGCCCTACAGGCCATTCCCGTAAGAGGGGCAGCCTCCTGCGCCCAGTGGCCTCAAGCCTGAGTGGGCATCAGAATCGCCTGGGAGCCTGTGGAAAGAGCGCTGTGCCCACCGGCTGCTTCCTGCTCGCAGGGCTGGGTGGGCCCAGGAACCTGCATGTCCAATCTGTCCCCAGGTGACGCTGCAGGTCCAGGACCAACCCGACAACAGCTCCTCTGGACACTCTGCCCACAGTCACATCATTTGAGCCACACCCGAGACAGGATCTGAGACTGGGCCCTCAATTTAGGTGCATTCACAGAAATTACAGCCACGTTAGAAGAATCCACAGGTGCGATGCCATTTCCTCAACTGGACCTCAGGGCCGTCTCTCATTTAGGAACCCCACATGCCCTAAAAGAAAGGAAAGTTTGGGTGCCCCTTTGGATATCAAAAGCTTCATGCTCCCATGAGGGGATCTCCATGGTTTGCCTCTTTCCGGGGTCCCTAAACTGTCCACAATGCCCTTCCTTCCTCCCTTCCCCCCTTCCCCCCATCCTTAGCAGGTATGCTTTTATGCCAATATTCCCTGAAAAAAATGCAGACAATCCCTTCAATAGCAATGTTGGTAGGAAGCCTAACGTTTTGCTCATGAGCCAGCACAGAGTTTAGGGTCCTTTTAGGCCAGGAGCCATGGGCTGCTCCCCTGCCCTCTGTCATCTGGGCCCATCAGCAGTAAGCGGGCACTAGCTTTTCTCTGCTTCCTATGATTTCTGCTGCTCTGCAAATAACCACATACGTTTTCAGTCACGCTTCTGGCAAAAACAACAATTTTGCTTCACAGTTTTCTACATCCTTTTTGATAAGCCACTGACCCCCCTGCCCGACCCCCACACATACACATCCCAGAGAGACAGAGAGAAAAAGAAGGGAGAGGAGGAGGAGGAAGGGGGGGAGGAGGGGAAAAGGATGGCGAGGAGGCAGGATCAAGAAGGGCTGTGAAAGGGAAAAGCCAGGGCTGCCTCACAGGGAGAGAAGGAGGTGGGGGAGGAGTAGGGGGAAGAAGGAGACGGAGGAGGTGAGGGAGCAAAGGGGAGAAGGAGGTGGAGCTATGAAGGGGGGGAGGAGGCCTGCCTCCTAGCTGTTTGCAGCTTGTACTAAAGGGGCAGGTCCTGGGCCAAACTCCAATCCCAGTGAGCGGCCTGCCAGCACTCCCCAGGGTGATTCACTTTTAGCATTTCACTGACATGTGGCAACGTCTCCTGGTGGTTTCTGGGGACTGGTGGGCAGCAAGGGAGGACAAAGGGAGTGGGCGCCCTCACTACTTCGTGTATCCATAAGCACACGTGCCCCCAGTCCAGGCCCGGAGTTTCCATGAACCCCACTGAGCACGTTCTAAGGGCTCATGTCAACCTTTAATGGGATGGGAATGACATCTCTAGGAACTGGCTTGAACACATTCCTGACCCAATCACAGTGTCTAGAGTAAGGGCAGCCGTGACTGGACACAAGTGCCTCTCTCAGACACAAAATTGTGGCGATTTAATAAAACTGATAATATGCGCTGAGAGGAAAAATGCCAGCCAAACTGTGTTGTTAATAGCCAGCAACACTCTGCCGTGTAGGCGGCTAGGTTCCACCCTCTGAAACGACCAAGCACAAGAGCGTGACAGGAGGTGACAGCCTGCCACCAGGCCAGGTACCGCGCTCACAACACTGGGCTGAGCTGGTTTCCGCCAAGCCTGAGGCTGCCCCGGCGACAGAATCTGGAAGGGGGCATAAGGACTTCCTGAATTTCCAGAGTGTTCTCGCACCTGCCCATGCCTCTGGGAAAGCTTTCACAGCGATCCTACTACTTCACGGTGGAAACAAGCTCATTCTAAAGCATTCGTGTACAAGGATGTCTGCAGCAGCCAGCAAACGCCTTCTTAGAAGCGACTGTCAAGACCCCAAGGCATGCCAGGTTGACAGGTGTGGTTTTGCACTGTGCTTAAGCAGATGTTTTTGCAGGTATTGCTTACCTGTGATCCTGTGATACACGGTCACAGAGTCCCACGGGAGGAGCCAAAACACATCAGCCAAGCTGGGAAGCTGGCCCTGCCTCTGTGCATCTGGCTGGGATGAGTGGAGGCACGCCCGGTTCCAGGCCCCTGCACTCCTCGCTGTCAGCTGTGTGGAGCCCGGCCCAGGGCTGCAGCGTGCGGCCACACTGGGAGGAGGAGGCCACAACACATGACACCCTGCAGCCCACAGATGGCGAACACAGGATAAATTCACCCTCAAACAGGGTGTTAACACAGGGCGCCTCCCAGGTACTCCCGACAGAAGCCTGCATGCTCAAGAAAGAAGGTGCCACATGGTTCACTGAGTGCAGCATGGTGAGCCCTGCAGCCTGGGTCACGGAGATGGCCTGGGAAGCAGGGACGAGGCTGTCTCTGCTCACAGCTCTGGCTTGGGAGGTGATGGAGGGCACAGCAGGACTAGGGACGTCCAGGAAGGCGGGGAGTCACTGACCAGTCCTGTTTGCCATGCGGGTCACACACACGGAATGTAGCCCCTGTGAGGACAGGCCTTGGCAATGACATCACTTCTCCTGCCAGGACGAGGGGCCCAGAGGGGAACAATGGTGTGTTTGACTTGCACATGGCCTGGTCACTTTGCACAGGGAGGGGGTGGCTCCCTACCTTGACCAGAGACCTCCCAAAGGTGCCAGTGATGGGGACAACAGAAGGTGAGGTCCCAGAAGCCCAGCAAGGATTCCCACCACTGACTGGTGTTCAGTCTGCCCCGTGGATAGAATGAGCTTCACTTTCCTGCTTTCTCAGGTTGGCATCTGTTACGGGCCGAAGTGTGTCCCCCAAAATCCATGTGTTGAAGTGCTAAACCCTAGTACTCCAGAATGGGAGTGTGTTTAGAGGCAGGGCCTTTAAAGAGGTTATTAAGGTAAAATGAGGTCATTAGGGTAGGTCTGAATCCCTTATGACAAATGTCCTTACAAGAGAGGTTAGGACACAGACACACACAGAGGGAAGACCACACAAAGACTCGGGGAGGAGACAGCCATCTGCAAGCCAAGGAGAGAGGCCCCAGCAGGATCCAGCCCTGCCCACACCCCACCTCGGCCTTCCAGCCTCCAGCACTGAGACCATGAATGCCAGCTGTTTAACCCTCCCCGGCTGCAGCACTTTGTTGCAGCAGCCCTGGCAAACGAATACAGCATCTTTTGAAAAGAAGAGCCGTCGCTAAGTGCTGACAGGGTGGAGGAGCAGAGCGAAGGCCACTGCAGCAGCCCGGGGTGGTGCTCGTCTCCCATAGGAGTCAAACAGCAGGCCAGCCCTCTCCGGCTCCCTGCTGTTGCCGCTTTTACCTGCTGTTGTTCCTGCAACAATTTATAATCCGCTTTTAGTCATCTCTCCCAGTGTAAAAAGGCATCCTCTTTTCTGGGCTGCACAACATCAGAGCTGGGCCTCCACACACCTGCCAGCCTTCAGGTGTGGCCATCTATGCAGACAAGGACAACTCACAGGCACCTGCAAGGAAAGACTCCAAGAATCCTACGATCCCACCAGCCCTCCTGCAGCTCACACCTAGCAGCGAGAGGCCACAAACCCTGCCACGTGCCAACGGAGGTGGCCGGTCCCCTGCAGGGGTCGGGCTGAGGGTGAGAAGCTGGGGAGACAGGCGAGTGTGGCCAGGAGGAGGCCCTCCAGGGCCCTGGAAGGGGCAAGCTGTGAGGGGAACCAGGAGGACGAGGTAGCCGGGCTGAAGGAGAAGATGCCAGAGAGTCAGGAAACCAAGCAGGGCAGTGAGGGTGGTCTGCAGCGGGACAAGATGGCGAGGATGCAGGGGCCTGGACTGGATGAGGAGGATGTCCACAGTGAAGAAGCACGATGCCGGGCTGAACCCCAAGCTCCCCGCAGCTGCTTACTCCACTGCCACTTACTAAAACGTCAATGAGAAGCAGCGTCAGGGCAAATCTCCAGTCCTGCTAGAAGCAGAACCAACAGCCCCAACTCTTCACGCCACGGCCATCAGCTCCTTTTTGGGATGAGGACAGGGGACAATAAATGAACTCTGAGGCCCCATCGGGTAATAAATTTCTAGAGTCCAACTAGAATCCCTATGTATCCTTGAAAGGAACAGCGAATAGTTAGAAGAAGTCAAGGGTCTTCATGACAACATCATCGAAACCATCTGCCTAGTGAATCCCAAAGCACATTTCCTGATCGGATACGGACTTGGTCTTCACCAGCCTGGGAGGCTCAGGAGCACAACCCACAGGAAGCAAACGGCAGAGCTGAACGGGGCTGCAGGCTGGGGCCCACCTTCGAGTGGCTAGATTCCAGCACACAGAATTGTGAGATGATGGCGCCTCGGGTTCAAGAAGAGAGAAGCACCACATGCCCAGGTGACTTATCTTTCCAGAACTGCATGAGTGGAGAAGGTAAGGCGATAGATACACCAACACATGAGAAGCTTTGCAATCTCGTAACTGCCTGGAACCGCTCTATGCCTTGTTTACGGCGAGCTGGGCAGCACAAGGAAAGGGTCGGCCGGCCAGCTGTGGTTTGAAATTCTTCTCACAATGATTTAGTTCGTTTTCCCTTCATATAAGTATCACATATTGGTGAAGGAAATGAACTCTGATGCCCAGGATCCTAATACATTTCTGTGATCCAAAAAAGCTAAACAAAATGATTTCTCTGATAGACACATACATACACACATATATATATTCTAAGCTATTCATATAGTCTAAGACAGTCTTGGACTATCTCCCCGGGGACATACACATCTCACCTTTTCCTTGGACCACATTTTTTTATTTTTGTTTTTGCTTGAGGAAGACTGGCCCTGAGCTAACATCTATGCCAATTTTCCTCTACTTTATACATGGGTTGCCACCACAGTATGGCTGACAAGTGGTGTAGGTCCACACTCAGGGTCCCAACCCGTGAACCCGGGCCACCGAAGCAGAGCGCACTGAACTTAACCACTAGGCCACGGGGCCAACCCCTGGATCACATTTTGATTCCAAATAATCTGGTAACCACTGTACAGCCTGCCAAGCATCCTTCCATTCTTTTCTCCAAAAGTATTCTCGATACTGACAGAGCTCGACCCCACTCTTCTTAGCAGCAGCAGCACAGTCCATGGCATGAATGCACAGGACGCACCCTGCTCTCCCCTGGGGCTCTGCAGTCACTGTGTCTACGTTGTTGTTGCTACTACAAGCAAATGTCCTTATGATTTGGCAATTTAATAGTTAACAGACTAGGAATGATAGGAAAAGGCTGTCTTGTCGTGGAGGAGCATTTCCAGAACAAACACCCAACATGCTTGTTAGAGCTTCTCGGGGAAGGTGGGGGAATGGTGCTGATTCCGTGTTGCGTGCCTCTGGACTCTTTCCCCAGCAGAAGTACAATGTGCAGTCTCACACAAAGGACTAGGGAGTGGGTAAAGTTCACCCAAGCACAGTGACAAACAGAGAGGAGAGCTCCCATTCCCTGTTGCCTAAGGGGCCAAGGAGGGGTGGCTGGGAGGATGGGGGATGCTGGCGGGCAGTGGCTTCTGCATGGAATTCACCCACACTGAGCCCCCTCATCCTGCACTGCCCCCAGGAAGAACCTACAGAACCCCTGCCCTGCCCTGCAGCGCCGTCAGCTCCCCAACCAGACCACGGGCTAGCAGCCCTCCCCTGTGGGGCTGTCACATGGGAGCAGTGGGAATGCTGGCCCTGAGATGTCCTTCCGGGGCACCTGGGCCCACATACAGGGACCAAGGAAAAGCCCAGGCCCGTGGGAGAACAGCCTTCTCCTGGATGTGGCTGGGAGCAGTCTGTGTTCAGCCTGCTGAGGAAAGTTGACCACTTCCCCTAAGTGCCCCGTCCAGCTGTTTTCCAGCAGAGGCCTCCCTGAGGAAGGGGCTGTATGAATTACTCCTTTTCATCTTCGGTATTTTTGATGTTTTGACATGTGGAGCCTGCAGACCCTGGAGAGACTGCCCCCCCATCCCCACAGGGCTGGCCAATACACAAACCAACCCAGGCTCCCACACCCATTGCCCTGCCCTCATCACCAGGGCCAGGGACCAGACAACAAGGGCAGGCCCTCACCCTAAGCTGCTCAGCCTGCTCACTGGGCCTCACCCATTTCTTCCCACGAAACCCATAACAAAGGCTCCTGCCCACATGTCCCCTCTGCCTTCTGCCTGACCCTGGTGCTCCCCACGAGGCCCTGCAGGCCCTGCCTCCTGTTTCGAGGAATCCACAAGGATACGAACTTCTCTCTTCAGGACAGTCATTTCCACATCAGGGCGTTCACCCTACCTGATGGACACAAATCCCAGGCACACTTTAGAAGAGGGCCTGGCTGTCAGGGGAAGGCCCCCCACAGCAAGCGCCTGCCTCCCTCTGACTCTAGACTCAGGTTTGGCCTGCCCTGGGCTTCAGTTCACCTGACTCTTCATTTCTACTAAAACCTATACCACCCCTTCAGTGCCTCGTGTGTGCGTGTGGAATCAGCAGCTCGTGTCTCCTGGAAGTGGAGCCGTGGAAGAAAATGAGCAGAATTGGCAAACAGCTAGCTGAGATCACGTGATCCGGACACCTTCCCTAGGGGTCATCTTAAAGCAAAGATGTCCTCAGCCCCCAGGCTGGGCTGAGCATCTGGGTGGGAGGCGACGTTGGGCGGGGGCCTCAGAAGCTAATCCACAAATCCACAGTGACTGTGAAAATCGACAGAAATGTTACTTTGAAACATAAAGCGGGATCTGTGCCTCTGAGGGTCAGGCACACACACGTGTGTGGCCGTCTCGCACACTGGGACCCTCTCAAACAGGCCTTGGATCGGAGCCGGGAAGGCGTGACGGGTGCATCGTGGGGAGAAGGCCCAGTAAACCCCCACGACCAGCGACCCTCGCCTCGCCGGTTTCTCCCTGTAAAGAACACTTAATTTTATAGGTCTTCAGACAGTTCCTACCTTGGCCAAAAAAATAAAAAGAGGGGGCCTTTGCTCTGCCCGTTCCCCAGGAGGGCCCCACCAGAGCCGCCGCTGGCTGAGCCGCCTCCGTGGCTGCGAGAGTCGGGAAGCACGGGGCTCCGGCCCAGCGCCACCACCGGCTCTTCTGTGCGTGCGCCTCTGTCTCCTTGCTGCTGAGTTCACCTTAATCACACGCCTTTGGGGTTTGCCTTTAATTATTTTCTCAGCGCTAGGAAAAGAGCAGCTAACCAACTCTGCTCCCCACACAAAGTCAACGGTCATCCCCAACCCAGGCCTGCCAGGGTGCTCGTTAACACCAGCCACCCGTACGAAATTGACTTTTGGCTAAAAAAAAAAGAATTTCTGGCAGGTGCTGCCCTCTCAAGATTAATTCACAGCGAAGGGAATATAGCAAAGTTAGCCTCTTGGCACAATGACAAAATATACATAAACGGAACGCAGGCTTTCTCCAGTTTACATCACTCACACCCCTCTCTCTACAAGGGCCTACAAATTACAGCTGCTGCTGTTTTTGCATAACCTAAACTTTCACTCGACAGAACTCCTACTTGTCTAAATGTATTTATACTCCCAGGAATGGAGGGACTCATTATTTACACCGGTTGTTTAAACAGTAACCAGATTGTTTGGGGCTGGCGCGTCTGGGTCGGGGCGGGTTTGCCGTCTGTGGAACACCACTCAGAACCCACACGCTTAAAGGAGCCAAATAAATGGGCAGAGGGGAAATTATGACGTGAGAGAGGGTCTTTGTGAATTGTAAATAGGCCCACATTGTGAGGCCTGCTTTCTAGATCCTTGAGTAACCACACAGCAATGGGATATCAAAAAACATCCAACCGCAGAAACCCAACTCGTCCCTGCCCGGAGCCCAGAGCAGTCTTCTAGAAGATTCTGTCCCCTTGGCTGCAATGCACCACTCAGTATGAAGTCAGGGCCCACTCTAGAAAGTTCTCTGAATAGGCCCTTCTGACCCTCCCTATGATGCATCCCATCGTAACCATGCAGGCCACGGGAGAGAGTGTTGACGACCCAGGACTGTGAGGGCTCCTCAAGCCCAGTTAAGACAAGGCCCTTGGACACAAGGACATAAGCAAAATCCACTGGGAAAACTTAAAGATGGCAGAACAGCAGAGCTGAGGACCTGGTGGGCACTATGGGTGCTCAATAGTAATCCTGAATGGCACTGAATTTTCTCTCCAAAAGGAGAAGAAATTGCAAAATGAGGTGTTCTGTCAAGAAGAAAAATGTTCAAGGGGAAAGAAATTAAAGTAAAAGAAACCTTGGTATAGTTCTACCCTTGGAAGTCATCTCCCATGTCTGGAGGGCAACAGCCCAGCTTTGTCAGCACCCAGAGAACAGAAAACCACTCCCATGCACACATCCTCTGGCCTCCACCGCAGCCCTGTGCGCGCTCTGCCGAGGAGGGGCACCAGCCCTGCAGATATGACAGGCTCCAGGGGCTTCCTGAAGGCGACAGTATGGCAGTCATCCCAGATTCTAGTCACCTTCCAGGGTTCTCCCTCAGTGACCACAGCACCGCCAACAAGCCTGACTTCTAGACAGAAAACAAAAGGAGAACATCGCTATAAGCAATACTGCTAAAGCAGACCAGCTCCTAAGGACCACACTTTGGACCACATTAAAAAAAAGTTCACTTCCGTTCCCCTGAGGTTTAGGAACTCCATCAGTGCTCCTAATTCCTTCCCTGTAAGCTAAAAGTGACAGGGTTCCTTCCTGCAGCTCAAGGATCTGGACGATGGTGGGAATACAATGGAACTCCGAGGAAAAGGAGATAGGGTGTGTACCGATTACCCGAAGCTTGATTGTAAAATAAGAACTGAGGCTTTGGAATTTGAAAAACAAAACAAAGAACACTGATTTCAAACCCAGGCCCTGCTGGTTTCCACAGCTCAACTCACTGAGTACCCTTCCTCATCACCCACGGGGCTCATCTGTTCGGTGACAGTCCTCCCCGCTTCCTGCAGTCACAGGAAAGGATGAGAAATAAACTGTTCTTGCAGAGTGCCTGGTCAAGTGTGTGCCACCCAGCAAAGTTCTCTCTCAGCACCTGTTCAGAAAACAGAGCACAGAAAAATGACAACGGTTCTAAGTCAGGATTGGCGAATGCAAGCAATTTAATTCTTCCAGTGAATTGTGAAAGGCTACTTGTGTAATGGGTTTAAGAAAAACATCATGGGTATATAGATTAACTTTCAAGGAGGAAATCCAATAATGTCAACTACCCTTTTCCATAATAAATGATACGCATTACATTTGAAAATGATCTATGGCTTCCAAGATGCCCCATTACAGATTCATGGCGTACAGAAAAGGACTGCTCTCTGATGAGCGGTTATTGCAGAGTCCTACAGCTCCCTCTCAGTCGCAAAGAAACCACAGGCATTTTCATTCATAATAAAAGTTATCACACGGTTTGAAAAATAAACTTTAAGGCAATTAGAATACAAGGGTCAGAAAAGGTGCTTAAAAGAGAACATTAACTATTTATAGGTGAAACGAATGCATTCTGCTCAAGACTGAGGCCTTAAATCAAGCTCCTCTTGCTTCTGACAGGCTCATAGAGAATTACAGGATTTTTACTAATCCTCAAATAAACAGTGTAAATACTGTTCTTAGCTCAGAAATTGCCTGCTGGCTATCGAGGGGTATTCCTGACGGAAAATGTGACAGCACCTCGACTGTCAGCCTTTGAGAAACTGATGTAAACTTCATGTAAACATCATGTAAATTCCCTGCAAACCAAAACTATTTTGATGGAATGCCAAAGAAATCAAAAAGGACCACTTTGCAATGCAGAGTAGCTCTGGGGGCCCTTTTTAATTGATTAGGAGGAAATCACCAAATCCCTAGGCAACACCCAGATGTCTGAAAGATGGGTATGTTTCAAAAGTCCAACAGCAACAACACAAAAGCAATAACCACCAACAGGGGACGGGCTGCCCTTACACCTGCTCTCCACGGCCCTTCTCTCAGTAGGCTCACAGCCACGGGCCACTGACAACAGACAGCCTTGTAGAACTCTAAGAGCGCACGGCTTCCCTCTCTTAAAAACCTTCTTAATAACTGATGAACAGTCTCACCTTTGGTCCAGTTGTTCAAGGCAAACACCAGCCATCATCTTGCTCTAACCTCCCCTAACTCCTAGCCACCAGTGTGTCAGGAGTCCAGTTCCACCCCCAGGACAGGTCCGAAAGCCAGTTCCTTCTCTCCTTCTCCCCTACCCCACCATCCTTGTTCTGGCCCACCAACATGGCCTCCACACAGGCTCCCTACTTCCACACTCAACCACCCTAACCCATCTGTTAGCACATAGCCAGAGGGGTCCTTTCAAAAGATAAATCCCATGATGTCACTTCCTTGCTTCCAACCCTCCAAGGAGCCGCCCACCCCACTTCAACTGCAGCCCCCAGCCCTCACCACCCGCTGCAAAGGCCAGTCCTCACTGTGGCAGGCCTCCTCTCCTTCCAGAGCAGCTGCCTGCCCTCCTTGCTGGCCCTGGTCTACCCTTTCCTGCCAGAAGACGCTGGCCTGCTTTCCATACATGAGCCCCTGCTTAGCCTTCCATGCCACCTCCTTGAAAGCATCCCCCGGTCCCCAGGCCCCATCACTCTGTCACATCCCCTCACAGTCCGTCTTCATTGCCTCACCTCTGTCCTCAATCCTTTGTATGTTTTTTTAGCTGTTTATGGCCTCTACTCCCCTCGAGAATTGGTGGGTTGTGTATATTCAAGGGAAATGACATGACAACCCACAGGGAATTTAAACATGAGACAAAGAAGCAAGAACACAGCACAGTAAGTCAATGACCATGATTTACCATTTGTTACTGGTTTTGAACCCAACTTCAAAAAGAAAAGACACTTATAAATGGGACTTATGAAACACTTATAACCACTCACTAGCAAATTGTACTTTTTATTTTAAGTTGACATTATTTTTTTGACTTTCCTAAAAATGTGACAAAATGTATTTTAACTGACCGCCAATGCATCTGGATTACTTTGAAGCCACCATGCATTTCTGAAGAAAGAGAGATGAAGATTCTTGGGAGGGAGCCCCATGGCCTCTGGCACCCCCCAGCTCTGCCTGCCTCCCAGGCGCTCCCCTCCCTCCCATAGGCAAGGGGGAGCACTGACCCCCACTTCAAACACAACAGGCAACTCATCCTGGAAGCTCGATGCTGGCGAGGCCCTTGGCCTCAGTCTTGGCCAACTTCACTTCTGCTTCACTTCTGCGGTTGAGCTGGGGGAGGAAGGTTTGGACCCAGCTTGGGGGCAGACCTGGTGGGTGTAGCCCCCACTCCCCGAGGTCGTTCCAGGACAGTGAACTGTCTCCAACAGTTGGGGAGGCCTTCCATGGTGTCCAGAGATAGAGGTGGCTGCCTAGACCTCTATGCCAGCCCTATGGCTAAATGATGGGATCACATGGTCACCATAAATGAGCAAGGCCAAGTCAGGACCAGCGTAACTGTGGCCTCAGAGTGTGTGGACGCATCTGAGAAGAGACTGTGTACTACAAGGAGCCAGAGAAGGGGGTTTGCACCCTGATGGCTGTCATCCCACCTTTTCATACCTGGCAGGCACGAGCCTGGCCCCAAGAAGGGGCCTCCCTCAGTCCCCCTGGTCTAGGTGCTGATGCCCAGGGACGCAGCACCACGGCCCCTCTGGATCTGGGCAGTGCTGCAGCCATCTTGCAAAGCCCAGGCCCCATCTGGTATCCATGGAAACAGAGGAACAGTCAAGGCCAGGTTTAACTACCATGATGAAGATTTACTTAGGGAGTAAAAGCAGAAAGAAACCACAAGCCCAGCGGGTTATTAACGGGAGGAGGGGAAAGAAAGCAGGAGAGGGGGGAGGGGCCGATGAGGCTGTTTCAGCGTCTCCAGCTTTTGTTTATAGCTGTTCCAGACGATCTTAAAATTATCAGGTGGGGGGAGGGAGCCTAGCAAGCTGGTCCACGGTGCAATTTATGAAGCATTTCCTTTTCTCCGGGGCCAGAGTTGTGATCACATGAGCCTCTGCTTTTCTAAACTCCATGTTTGTTTTTGTAGTTTCTGCCAAACTAAATCAATTCAGTTTGTGGCAACCTTTAAAGAGTCATGACTTGCTCAAACAGTCTCAAAGTTTGACTTCTTTCCAAGAACGTCGACCAACATTTGTATAGGTTTCACATGCCTGGTGATCAAATCCTCTGATTACTCAAATCTGTGTCACATAACTGTAAATTAGTGACCTCTAAGATGACAGATTTCTATTCTTTGATATGCACAGCTAAATGCCTTTCTTTCATTCAAGTTGGGCAGAAACACTCAACGTTTCTTAACAACACTCTCCATGCACTAGTATCACTTGTAATATCTTTAACCAGAACAAAAGGCCACACGTCCCCACGAATCCTCTTCCTCAACCCCACCACAGCCACTCACTTCCCCTAAGTGGCACTGCCAGCCCTCCCCCGCTGAGCACCTCATGCTGCCTGGACACCAGATACCGAGTACACTAAATCGTTCCTAACAGAGCCCTCTGGGGCAGAGGGGGGAAGAACTTGTTACAGAGGAAACCCCCGTGGCTCTCTGTAGAAGGAACTGGAACAACTGCCTGAGCTGGTTGTAGATAAGTTTAACCCTTTTATACAAGAGAAAACAGAAAGAATGGGGGCAGAACTTAGGGGCACTTTGCAGCCGCCCCGGTGGACTCGTGCTATGGTCTGAATGCTTGCGACCCCTCAAAATTCACATTTGAAACCTAATCCCCAATGAGATGGTATCAGAAGATGGGACCTTCAGGAGGTGACTAGGTCATGAGGGTGGGGCCCTCAGGAATGAGATCAGTGGCCTTATACAAGAGGCCCAGGGAGCTCCCTCGCCCCTTCCACCAAGTGAGGACATGGAGAAGGTGGCCATCTGCAACCTGGCAGAGGGCTCTCGCCAGAACCCGACGACGCCGGCACCCTGATCTCAGGGTCTCGGGCTCCCAGCCCCCAGAACTGCCAGAAATCAATGTCGGTCGTCTGTCAGCACCCCAGTCCGTGGCATTGTGTTACAGCAGCCCGAAGGACTAAGGCAGCCTGGAAACACACAACACCACCCAGAGTGGGGAAGAGACGCCCCCAGAGCTCCAGGAGTAAGCACTTCAGCCTCTCTGAGTTGGAACAGATGCAACCAACTCAGCGGGAATCAACGCTAGCGAACTCTGACCCCGGACCCTGGGTCACTTCCCTGCCTCCGACCGGCGGAGCTGCGGACGTTCTGAAAGAGGACCTCTCGGGCCTGCAGAATCCGCTCTCTGCCTCTCCTTTCTGCTCTTCTCTGTGTGTCCACGTCACCTTCTCTGTTCTGGAAAATGGCACCCTCCTTTCTGCTCCATGAAGAAAATATATCCCCACTGCTCCCACAGCCCTGCCCAAGCAGACCCGGAAGACGTCACCCCTCCTTCCCAGCGTCAACACCAGCGAGGAGCCTGGTGGTCCAGCTTCAGGGACGTGCCTACCACCGGGAATCACCTGGGCCAGGTGGGCTTCGGGGATGCGAGGGAAGCTTCCAATGCAGCCCACGGAGGGGTGGGCCAGGGGCAAGGAGCAGAGCGCCGGGGCGCTGGGGACTCACGATGCACCAGCCCAGGGCTTAGTTCCGATGAAGCACAGTTTACGCCTTTAATGGGGCAAGAACTGATAAAGCACAGGAACAAAACAATCACACCACAGAAGCTCAGCCGGCACCCGTCTGCTTCCATCTCCTCCCCAGGCTTCTGATTCCTCCACCTCCGGGGCACCTCGTAGCCACACAGAGAATGCACACGCTTCTCACTCTCCTCCCCGTGAGGTCCCGAGGCAGGGGGAGAAGTCTGTGTGTGAGTGTGTGTGTGTCTGTGTATATGTCTCTGTGCACATCTATGTGTGTGTGTGTGTGTGTGTGTGTCTGTGTGTCTTTGCCTGTATGCATGTGTGTGTGACTGGAGCTAGATGAGTCAGGAGCCACAGGGGAAACCTGTCCATCTTCCCAGGCAGTGGGTTTTTTTTATTAACTGAAAATTCGAGGGGAAATCTAAAAAATCAAAACAAACATGGCTTTGTAATAGAGAACAATCAAAATTCATATTAATTTTTAAGTAAAAAGAAAAAAAGATTTCAAAGACAGCTGTCATCTTCAGGTCTGCGTGCCTGATCCAGGCCTCCCCTGTGTGAGCTCACCACCGTCGCCTCATATTTGGGGAGTCAGGGACCTCCTCCAGCCAGGCTGTACCAGCCCCAGAGTAAGAGGATGGCTCCAGGCGGGGCTCATGAGCTGCCTAAGCCCCAAGTCCTTCTGAAAAAGGCAGGGGGCAGACTAGATCAGAGGAGTGCTGCCTGCACATGGCAATCAGCTGGGGAATTTGAGCAAGATGGATGCCAGGGCCTCACAGAGACCAATGCAATCAGAACCCCGGGACTGGGACCCCAGGAAATTCCAGCACATGCAGCCAGGGTTGAAAAGACAGAAGAATAAACAGACTTGAAAGTGCTCCGTGCAAATGAGATCACACCAGGCAATATAAGCTGCAGCCATGATCCCCTCGCTGGGGTTCTGTCCTCTGAGGTTACACTTCCCGGGGTAGAGCAGCCGGTGTTTCAGCAAGGCTACCTCCATCATGCTGCACACACCGGGCCATTTGTGGCCCCTGAGGATTTGTGACCTACCTGGAGGTGCCAGGGCTGGAACGCTTATTATCTTTCCCTTTGGAGCGTTTGCACCAATGTTCCAGGCTTCCAGATTGACCCTGGCTCCCCTGGGAACCCATCCGCAAACCCACCCCCCCTTCCCTCCGCCTCTTCCCTTCCGGATAGAACCTGGGATGGTGCAGGTTCCTGTCCTCCCCTCAGAGAGGCCAGCGTCCCTGGTCCTCAGGCTCCAGCTCCCTGGCACCTACGAAGGCCACATAACCCCTCCTGGGCAGCAACAGCAATTAGAGAGAAGCTGCCTGGAGATGTCAAGATGACCGCGGGAGTGTCTCCAAGGGAAAGGAGAACCTTGTCGTGGCCGTATCTGGACCAGAGATGAGTATCTGGGAGCTTGCAGCTTCCACAAGAGCCTGAAAGCTGAGGCAGGGGGCACGGGGGGAAGGGAGCAGACTGGCCCCAGCCCTTGGCATTTAGAGGATGGACACAGAAAGAAAAGCCAGGAGAGGACACACAGGTGATGGCTACAAGAGAGAAGGACAGAGAATGTTTCCAAGTGGAGGTCACCTATAAAAGAACGCCCAGTGGATCTGCCCACAGAGAAGCAGAAGAGAAACGACTGCCATTAACAAGGGGGATGACCTCGAAACAAAGAAGACCTCAGATCAGGGTCAGATGCACTTTTTCATTAGATTTTGCCACTTGTTAATAGTTATGCAAGAAAAATCTACCAAGAACTGGTGCAGAAGAGAGTAAGAAGCAAGTCTAGAAATTCCAACCGCAGAAGGTGCCCACGTAGCCGCGCAGCCCTCCTTCCACCATCCGCCTCTACTCATCCAAGAAAAGCAGAGTGTCCACTTGCCTACTTGTTTGTGGCCACAGCAGGTGAAAACTGTTGAAAAACCAAATTTGGAGGTTTGCCCTAGAAACGGCATAGCATGCCACAAGTAAAGAGGAATGCCCAGAACTTTCTGCAGGGAGGTGTCCTGGGGACCCTACGAAGAGCCAGGAGGTCCCGTCCCCAGCCCAGAACAGAGAACAGGCACAGTGGCTTCAACATAGTCCCAAGATTGACAGTCACAAAAGCAGCTGCAAACCATTCACGGGGAGGGTCTGTCCCCAAGCTCCTTTCCCTGCCCCCTCCTACACCTGTAGGCACTGATTTTTCCAAAGCACCACTGGTTACTATGTAGCCCAGAGCTTCACAATCTATGTACCTGCAGGGGTTGAATAGCATCCCCCAAAACTCAAAGGCTGAAGTCCTAGCCCCCAGCAGCTCAGAATGCAACCCTATTTGGAAGAGGACCTTTACAGAGGTCATCAAGTTAAAACGAGCTTATTAGGGTGGGCCCTATCCAGTATGACCAGCGTCCTTATAAACAGGGGAAATGTGGACAAGACACACACACAGGGAAAACAATGTGAGGACACGGGGAAGAGAGGGCCGTCCGCAAGCCCAGGAGAGAGCCCCCAGAAGGAACCAACCCCGCCGACGCCTAGATCTGGGACTTCCAGCCTCCAGACCGTGAGATGGTAAAGGTCTGCTGGTGGAGCTGCCAGCGGGCCAGGCTTTGTCACAGCGGCCCCAGCTGACGTGGACGGTGTGTGACGGGCACTCAGGCCGCTTTGTTGTTGTTCACCAGCTTCCTCTTTAGTGACGGAATGTTCCCCTCCACCACAGAGCCACCACTCTGCTCTCCACACCATCCTGCTCTCCTTTCCACACCCACTGCAGCCCACTCCCTCAGTGACACCCACAGGTCCACCTGCTGTCCCCCAGGGCAGCCCCTCTGGTCACGGCTCCTGTCACCCCACCCTCCACAGCCAGAGTGCTGCTCAGTCACCCCGTTCCACTCACTCAGACACAGGCCGACCTGCCTGGGTCTCACCCTCAGTCTCCCACTCCCTCAAGCACAGGCTTGGCTCAGACGCTCACTCCAGGACATAAACATTTCCGCCAGGAAAGACCATCTTGCTGTCAGGGCAAGGACCCCAGTAGCTCTGCCATCCTACCACACTGGCACATTCAGCATCATCACTTGGCATTTCCCAGCCCTGTGGTGAATGCCACATGTGCACACCACCCCATGACAACTCAATAGGGTAGGCCACTAGAAACCCCAGTCACTGGAGGAGCCCAGTTCTCAAGGAGCCCGGTTCTCATCTCATTCCAGGTGTGGGATATGAGCTCTCGAAGCCTCATCTCCAAGACAGAAGGCATGTGGATCTTGGCTCAGGAAATTGGAAATCAAAGGTCCCTTGCTTAGTGCACTGGAAGCTTCAGTCCCTGGGAGCAAGTGAGGCAGGACTGGTGGAACAGGCTCCCTTCGAGATGTCCTCAAGAGCAGGACTGCATCAAGCTACCCGTGAGATCTTGTCACAGAATTGCCCGATCTGAGTTTCACCAAGGTGTGATGACGGACCACATGAGAAAACATATTGTGGCTTTGCTCAAATCTAATCTATGAAATGACTGAGAAAGAAAACAGACAAGCCATAAAAGTAACAGAGGGAAAATAAAAACTTTATTAACCAAAAAACAAAACAAACAATCAGAGGCCTGCCCGGTGGCGTAGTGGTTAAGTTCGCACACTCCACTTTGGCAGCCTGGGGTTCACAGGTTCCAATCTTAGGCAAGGACTTACGCACTGCTCATCAAGCCACGCTGTGTCAGCATCCCACATACAAAATAGAGGAAGACTGGCACAGTGTTAGCTCAGGGCAAATCTTCAAACAAAACGAGGAAAATATTAGCAACAGATGTTAGCTCAGGGCCAATCTTCCTCACCAAAACAAAGAAACAAAAAACCCAGCAGGAATTGGACTGGATGCTCCAGTGAGCAAGGCCAGGGCTTATATTTCTCCTACATCCCCCCGGAGAACAAAGCCAAGGGCCATGCACAAACTAGATGCTCATGAAACCCATTAGATCCCATCCGTGGGCACAAGGCAATTCCCTCCCTCAGGGCAGAGCAAGTCTCCAGTCATCAGAGAACACACACACACTCACACTCACGCACACACGGGTCTCTGTAAGAACAGCTACCCCTCCTGTCACAGCTGCCCCCCTAATTCCATCACCTTGCTCCACCAGGAAGTATGGGTGGCCCTGGCCGAGCCAGGGTAGGATGGCAGGGTCCCAGAAACTCTGTGTGGGCTCGTAGCCCGTGGCGGGCACAGCAAGGTGGGCTGCAGATAAGTGACCCGCCACAGGCGAGCACCTGGGCTCTGCCCTTCTGAGCAGACCAGGCGGCAGGACCTAAGCTGGGGTCTTCCAGATCCAGAAGCTTCAGATACCCTCAGAGAAAACCCAGAGATTGGATAACTGATTCTTGCAATAGAACAAAATAGCAACACCAACAACAAATCCACGTCAAGTGAAACACTTGGCTATCGTGAATCTCTACACAAAGGGGAATGCTTCAACATATCGTGTTACAAAGGCAAGACCTCTCTTCCCCGGGCCGCCGTCATCCAGGCCTGCAGGGCTACGCGGGGGTCACTCAGAGGTGGAGCAGAAGTCTAACAGGACCGAGGCAAAGTGCTGCTGAACCCTGAGGCCGGGCAGCAAAGCAACCCACCTTCGCCATGGAGACAGCAGCCACTCACCCCACATCCCAGGACAAGAGGAGACCCATACCCACCCAGCCTGTCTAGGAGTCATCCACTTGCATGTTCTCAAGCGGGTCACTAGCGGTGGCACCTGCTCCTAAGGTGCTCCTGGGACGGCCAGCCCAGCCAAGCTCTGGCCACGGGGCACAGGGTCAGCAAGTGGAACACTCAAGATGGCTCAGGGTCAGTCTAGCTTCCTTGAGGGAACTGAGGGGGTCACAACGCTCGTGAGAACAGAAACGGGTTTAAAGACGTCCACGGTGTGAGGAAAGCTGAAAATGCCCCCCACAAGGAGGGGCCAGCAGGCCACTGTAAAGAGATGGCATGCTATCCTAAAGGCCACGGGAGCGAGGATAATCCTCCCACGGCAATATCCCACGGGGGCAGGAGTACAGTCCTACGGGTGTCTAACACACACTGAACTCATTAGGAATGATACAGCAAAACTGGACAAATTCTTTCAAGCTGTGAGGCTCTCCCTCTCCCAGAAATGTACATTTCTCTAAGGGGATGAAGCAGAAATCGGCTGAAAAACATAAGACCAAATCGTCCCTGTGCCCAGGACCTAGGGTCCCTCTCTTTATACTTCCTGGGCATGTCACGTGAAACTGGTGCTTAACTTAGCAAAGGGTGGACGTGAGCAAAGAAGAGATGGAAGGAAGGTAGCTTAAAAAACTCACTACTCAACACAAACCAAGCAAAGACCCTTCAAATGGCAAACAAACAGCTAACCAAAAGGGGGACCTGGGGAATTCAGGAAAGTGATAGAAATGTAGAGGCCTGCGTTCCAATATCAACTTTGGATTGGAAGTATCTAGACAAAGTCACAATTTTTTAAAACATATGTTTCCTGGTGCTAATCACGGAAAGGGCCTGGAAGCAGCGAGAGCCCAGGTGCTATGGGCACCCCAGTGCCCACACGCTGGTTTCTCTACCACAAGGCTCCTTGGGAAAATGGCTGATCGTCAGTCTGGGACAGGGGATGCAAAGGTGAGCCAGGACACCACTGTGCCAGACAGCAAGGAAGCAGCGAACACTGCAGAGTCAAGTGAAGGACTCAGGCACCAGCTTAATGCAGCCCCTTGACCAAATGCGAGTATCAGGAAAGACAGAAACGACTTTAAGTAATCATCCTACATTGAGTTCCTTTAAAAAATCATCAGTCCTTAACGATTCTCAAAAATTGGGGTGGGGAGACACCTTTCAGTAGAAATGACTACATGAGAACATCGTCATTTTGCAACCTGCTCTGTAACAGCTGATTCAGGCAAAAGCACTGAGCGGAAGCCTCTTTGGGTAACAGGATCTATGCAAGATGTCCAAGTGTCTTCACAGACAGGAAAACGATGCGCCTTGACACAGGAAAGGAGGGTGGTCACCACACATGGTCAGCATTAGCATCCCTGCCAGTGGGACCATTTGACCTCCACGTACAATAAGGCAGGGAGCACAGAGCTTCACCCATTCAGGATTCCGGCCACAGACATTCAAGTGTCGGCCTAAGAGCAAGCACAAGGGAGAGAGGAACCAGCACAGCATCACTGGGAGAAAGGAGTCCGACAGATTCAGAACGCGCGACCTTCCACAAGCAAACGAGCCTGTGCGCTCCAAATCGTCCATGTCATGGAGACGAGAGAAAGGGTGGTGGTGGCGGTTGTGGAGGTTCTGGATTCAACAGACCAAACAGTTATAACAACCAAATCAATGAGCGAACCTTGAGTGGATCCTGGTTTGGGGAGAAGAAAGGAATCCAGCACACTTTGGAGAGACCTGGAGAAGAGTGACTATCCGGCAAACATTGATGATTGATGTCCTCTGTGCAAGAACCACACTGCCGCTATGTAGAAGAAAGACATTCTTAGAAGAAAGACATTCTTACAAGACGGGTGCTCAAGTATTGAGTGGGCGGAAATGTCGCGATGTCAACAACTTATTTTCAAACTACTCAACAAACAGTTTTAGAAAATGTGTGTGTAGGCGGCAGAGAGAGAGAACAAGAAGCATTAACGACTGTCAAGTCTCGGTGGAGAGTTTATATGTGTCTGCTGCACACACCTTCAACTTTTTTACATACTTGAAAACTTTCATGATCAAAAGATGAGGGGAAACAAAGAGGCCCACGCTGGCAGGGTGCTGCAGAATAACAGGGTTACAACTAGACGGCTAGGTTCCCAGGGAGGGTGCTGATATGCAGCACCCACAAAGTTCCTGACACATGAGGCTTCTCAGTCTCCCAAATTCCTTGAAATGTCGACCTGCTGTATCCAGGGTGGTCCCTCTAAGGGCCTCAGAGCTTTTGCTGCTCTTCCCACACAGGTCCACAAGCTGAGCTCTCAGGAGGCAGGTCTTTCACAGTGAGCCATTAGCTCAAAGCAATGCAATGCATCTCTCAGGGAGAAAATAAGAATGGGGTCTCCTGACCGCGCATTTGCCAGGCCCTCCTTCACACGTTCTCAGTCATCATCATGACCGCCCTGCAGGAGAGACTGCTGCCGGCATTCTACAGATCGAGACTGGACCTCAGGAAGGTCAACAGGTGTCAGGGCCACAAGGAAGTGAGCAGCTGGGCACTGAATACAGATCGGTCTGCTCCAAGACCATGAGGTCTCCACAACCCCACCCACTCTGCTGTCTAGGCAGGGCCCTCCCACTCTAAGGGAGGCCTCCAGCAGGGCAGCCATAGCATGCCCTGGGGAATCGTGTGCACAGGAGGTGGGGCCGTGTGAAGGGCACCCCGTTTAAGGAGTGTATTTATAAGAGCAAACACGTCCAGAGGAAGAGAAAGGAAAAGAGAGAAAGACTTCAAAATCATTCGCCAAAAATGCAGGAGGAAACCGAGGATGACTGAAATGGAACCAAATCCCGATGTTCGCCAACTTACACAAAAAATGTTGGAGGTAGGCACATTTGGGGGCCTGCCCGAGCTGAGGCAGCTGTACTGTGGTCCTGGGATGTGGCCCCCCGGTTTCCTTGACGAGAAACAGGGCATCGGGGTGAAACACACACGGCTCTCACCGGGCGGGCCGTGAAATCCATCCCCGTGCTCTGGAACCAGCCCATGTGTTTGCAATTAGGCAGCAGCCCGCCCCGGCAGGAGGGGAGGGCCCAGCCAGGCCTCTTGCCAGCCGTAATTTCTTCTCTGCCAAAACAAGGCCCCCTTAACCCAGGGAACAGCACTGCCCACAGGGCACCCCCAGTCCTCTGGCCTCCAGGAAATGAAGTGAAGAGGGAGCTCTGGGCTTCAGTCACGTGCCCCAAGTCAGACAGGCCACATGGCTGGGGCCCTGAATGTTTCTTTGTGGCCTCAAGGAAGCCAGTGACAAATAACATGTGTCTTTCAGACTGAGGGGACAATAAGAAAAACACACACATCTGTTTCCACCACTGGCAATGAGTCCGTAATACACAGAAGCCCTTAAAACCAGCCCCTCCCCGGATGTGGAAGAAAGCTTTTGGGAGTCCTGGAAGACTAGTCACCAGCAAGAGAGGAAAACCTCCACTCGGCCACTTGTCCCCACACAAAAGCGGATGCTCCGAGGTGCGAGACGGGGCGTTCAGGACGGGCCCAGGCCACATGCCCAGCCTGGATAATTCATGCTGAGGGGCCAGGAACTTTCCAAACCTGCCGGACAACCAGTAGGTCCTGCTCACATTTAACTGGGCCTCTAATCAGTCTAGGGTGAAAAGGTGACACAGGGAGCAAAGTATCTGAGAAACCACCTTGAGATCTTATCCTAGGAAGACCTGCAGAGCTGCCACTGCCCGAATTGTTTATGATTTCTACAGGAATACCCGGCCTGAGACCCAGGACAGAGGGAGAAGGCAGCTTTGAAGAAACACCCCAGCTCCCATCTTTTGGGATGCCCTGAGGGACAGGGCCCCCCCCACCCCCACAATAATGGGGACAGCAATCACATGTCCTCTCTT